TTATGCCAGCATGGGTCTCTCCAGGGCTGTTATGAACCACCTCAGGGACAAGCTGGCATAGGGAGAGCCCGAGGGTCTGCCTTCTCTTTCTCTCTCTCTCTCTCTCTCTCTCTCTCTCTCTCTCTCTCTCTCTCTCTCTCTCTCTCTCTCTTACCATGGATCTGTGGTCTAGTTCACATTCATGGTGTATGTTTGAACCTAAGGTTTTGTTACATATTAAAAACAAAGCAAAACCAAACAAAAACAAATAGAACCTCCCACCCCGGTGATTTCAATGCAAAAACAAATTTGTAAATCACTAGCAAGTCTGATCTTTGAAGCTTTTCAAGTGGACCTCTTGTCCTGCTGTCCACTCAAGTCTTTCAGAGCCTTAAGAAAGTGTAAATGCCAGAATTTGGATCCAGATCCACTGCAGGTGTCTGTAGATGGTTCTGAACACCAAGATTTTCATTATCTAGGTTCCTTAGTTCACTGTCCACTCTTGATAACAAGGTACCACAGACTGTTCAGTTACAAAGAAAAGAATTCTGTTTTGGATGATGGTTTGTGTTCACGGCTTAGGGTACTTGAGGATTGCTTCTTATAGTAGCATCATTGGGTGGCCCAGGATGTCACATGTTATGACATGGAGTGTGCCCTGGTCTCTCCTCCTTCTCTTATAGAGCCAACAAGAGTCAGTTACTCAATCATGAGATGCAACTCTGATGGTCTGGTCTAATTCTAATTATTCTCCAAAGACCCCCACCTCTCAGTACCGTTTTTCTTAGTGCCTCCCCTGCGTTTTAATTTGAATATGAGTGCTCAGCAGGGGACTGGTGACAAAGTGAAGACCGAGACAGGCTCTATCTTCTTGCAATTTGCTGTTTAGTAGAAAGGTCCAGAAAATAAATACGTAACTGAAACCTGGAGAATTTGTGTTGATATGAGAAAGTGAGGTGCTGTGAGATACACACCAGTAATGATAATAACAAAGTGAATACTATTTGTTGGTGAAATGACATCATCTCAGTCCTCTTTAAGGTTGAGGCACTGTATTAAAGAACTCATACAAAATCTTTTTATCAAATTCTCACTATCGTTTGGTACAAATGTTCTCTAGAGTGGGGAAATGACTTTCCCAAGGTTGCCCAGCACACAGTAGAGTGTCTCTTACTCACCGAGTCACAATGACATCTTCACACTTTGTATCCTTCCGGGTGTTCTGCAGAGTGGCAGGTACTGGGGAATGTCAGAGCACATGTTGAGGAAAGAAAGTTTCCCAATGAAGGCATGCACCAGCCTGACGTGGGTCCCCATATGTATACACACACACACAAACACACACACACACACACACACACACACACACACACACACACACTCACAATCTGTTATAGGTAGAAATGACTGAACAGTCAGGTACAAAGGCAACTGATGATACAGGCTATGCCATCATGAGAATGCAGTTTCTGACTCTCCCTTGGGGACTCTTTCTTTTATTTGTGTGTGTGTGTGTGTGTGTGTGTGTGTGTGTGTGTGTGTACACTCTTCAGAAAAGGATGGTTTGATTTGCAAAAAAAATGCTTCTGCTGGTCCTTTATTACCATTATTTTTCGTTACTCCATCTCCTCAGTTCATGACTCTCTCTTCTTTTAACCATCACAGACACTTTACCTAGGCATTATAAGACACTAATTTTGAGGGATCAGTCACATAAATTTTCAGCTTACATTGTATATTCTGCCTTAACAATGTTGTGATGACAAGAACTTTTGAAATAAAGCATCCCCTGAACCTCACTACTTGAGTGGTTGCTGAAAGACTTGGTCTGAAGAGGATCTTTGAGGAATGCAAGCTACTATCTTAGGACTTGTTCCTTCACTGAAGTGGAGGCTCCAGCCCCCAGATGGGACAAGACAACATATAGATGAATGGGTTAATTTAAGTTATAAGACCTAGTGGGACAAGCCTAGACTATAGGCTGAGATTTTATAATTAATAAATTTCTGTTTTTTTTTTTGTTGTTGTTGTTGTTTTGTTTTGTTTTGTTTTGTTTTTGTGAGCTGGTGGCCCAAAGAAAAATCAATCTGCATTGACTCCTGTCATCCTGCAGTGCTCTGCAATTGGTAGGCTGCCTGCCTGGTGCTTCTCACTCTGTCTGTTTTGTTTGACTTTGGTCTTATGAAACCTAGTAGGACTTCAAAGTGGCTAGGGATCATGCCATCAAGTTCTCATTGGAGGAAGCTGTTTGTCTTCTCATTTGGAGATGGTTGTCAGGGTTTTCATGTTGGTTGTGTTCATTTCTAGAGAAGAGTAGAAGGGTATCTTGAATGTATTTCTGTAGGGGTCTTGACTTTTTAACGACTAATGAGAAATTACCCGTGATGCCTGCCTTTATCTTCAATTGTTCAGCAATTAGGCAATGACGCTATATGTTGAAAACATTATTACAGCCTCTGGAGGGAGCTCAAGGCCTTTTACCACCTTCTGCATCCACTCTGCAAAGAGAAAGGCAATCTGTGAGATTTAGGGTTGAATGACAGATACAGAAAAAACTGCATGTAAGATATATGGGAACATTTAATGGGAAAGAAAAGGGAAAGCTTGGATTGTTGTCTTGTTAACTGAGTGGTTAACAGTTCACCTTTGAAGGGCCAGAGAATGGTGTCTTTCCTATTTGTTAGGCAGAAATCTGTAGGCCAGTTGGCTACAGGAATGAGTGGGGCAGCTGAAGTCAGTTCTGCCTAGTTTGGCACAATGACAGCAGAGGGTTTTTGATCTGTTCTCTCTTCCTTGGAGTGGGAAGATCTGAGGTCAGTTTCAGTGCTCAGACAAAGTCACAGTATTAATGAGAATCCCTATGGCCAGCCTACCCCTGTGTCACAGATTATTCCAGGAGTTGTGAGGGTTTGATGGGAATCTCAGTCCCAATCATCTCTCAGCTCTATTAGAAAACAGAGACATAAGAACATGCAAAAGGAATCTGTCTGTTCTGCTACTGACTGTAAATTCCCAGAATTCCAGCGTCTCCAGCTAAATGCAAGCATCATACTCACCTAACAAGCTATCAGGAGATTCGTATGAACATTGGTATGAAAACACCTAGCCTGATATACATCACTGTGTAGTTGTTTGTCATGTGTTGACTGCATTAACAGGCATGGGTCTGGGTACCTAATGATATTGACTGATGTTAATGAGTCCTATGTGACAGATGACTAGTACTGTGTTATTTCATCTCATCACTTCAGCACTTCCACTAGGTGTATCCTCATCATCCCATTCTCCACATGCTGCCACAGAAGCTAGAGAGGCTAAGGGAAAATTCTGGGGTCACATAGCTAGTAGATGTTTGGGCTGGAATTTGAATCCACGTTGGTCTGTTATGTTATGGTAATGCTTTCCACGTCCAAAAATGGCCTAGAGTCCATCATATGCAAACTTCAGCTCCTTTATGGAGGCTACCATTGGACCTTGTGTGCTACAGGTCCTGCATGGGGAGGTATGGACTGAGGGTGTGGTGATGGCCAGTCTTAGAGCATCACAGAGATGCATGCTTCTGTTGCAAGCAGCAGCTGTAGAGTAGCTCTCTCCTCCATGGATTCAGAAGACGCTGATGTATCTGAGTGCCACTTTTTAATCAAGGGGACTATCCATCTCCTGTTGTCATTTGATCTTGAAACAACAGCCACAAATCTCTAGGCAACACAGACGTGATACCGGCAAAATGAAAGGGGAGGTAGCAGCATCTTGCTCTCATTAATGGGTGAGGAGAACACACACAGCTCGGCCTCAAGTGTTTGGGGAATGTGGTATTTTTAGAAAAGAACATTTTGTGATTTAGTTGTTTGATTTCTGAGAAGGCTTTCTTTTAACTTTTTTTTTTCAGGAAGTTTCAGGATCAAAAGGGAATGATAGATTGACCAAAAACAATCAATCAACAAACACATAGTGAGGGCCTTCTGTGTGCAGAGCACAGAGGTAGAAACAGAGTTAGAAAATGGTTAGGTTTTGTCCTTGCTCTCTCATGTGCTTCAGACCTATTAAGAAAGATTGCAACATTGTGTAGGTCCAGAGCCCAGATAAAGCAGTTGGATTTACTCTGGTTCACTGCAAGAATAATATCCAGAGAGGTGAAAAGCATAGAGCCTTGAAAAACATGGATGGAGTTGTTTATTCATTTGTCCTTTCAATGAATATGCACTGAAAACCTTCTCTGTGTGTAGCAGATCGCAGAAAAAGAAAGCTGAATAAGACCTTGCTCTAACCTTGAAAAGTTTGTACAGCAGTGGAAGACAGAATCACAGACCAAGAATGCTATGAGGCAAAGAACTGAAATTAATATAGATAATATGAATCCTCAGTAGAAGGCATAATATGTGACACCTAGAAGACAAAGGGCCTAGAAAGATTTTATGGAAGACAGAATACACAGATAAATATTGAAAATGAAAACCAGTTGACTAGTCAGAAGAAGAAATATTGCTTAGACAAAAGAAGCAACACATGCAAATATCTGTGAACCATGTGGGTGAAGACCCATTTATAGGTGGAATGTCCAGATCTTGGAATGGAGGAATGAGGATAAAAAGGTGGCTGGACATTCCCATGTCTGGAGGAAATGGGGATATTTAAAGGACAAATGCAATGAATGACTTGGTCAAATACATGTTTTAGGAAATAAGGTTCACAGTTAGGGGGAGGTGATGAATTGAACTTATTTTGGTTTGAAAGTGAAAACTGAATGTCCCTCACAGGATCAGGTTTTTGGATGCTGGTACTTTTTTGGGAACATGTCAAGCTTTGGACCCAGGATTTAGCTATAGAATTAGGGCCATAGGGGTAGGGCTTAAGGGTGGCAGGCTGCTTCATTTCCTATTTCCTTGCTAGTTCCTGAGATGGGAGCAGGCTGTTGCACATGTTCCAGCCACCATGGATGCCATTGTGCCTTTCCTACCTTGGTAGGATTTATGCTCTCAAACCTTGAGCCATAATAAACCTTTCTTTCTCTGTTCTCTCAGGTAATTTGTCTCAGCAGTGACAAAGGTGATTGGCACAAGAATGATTTGGGTTGCTGTAGGAATTCGAAGAAAAAAATAAAACCTTACCCTTTCCGGCCTGAACCTGGCTACTGAGGACTTCTCAGAAAAAGTGACTCCTACAGGAATGAGCATGGAGGAGATGGAATGAGTCAAGAGGAGACAGCTCTTCAAGGAAAGAGGAAGGTTTGGAGCCAAGTTAACTATTCTACTTGACTGAAGATGGTGTGTGTGTGCAGTTAGTGGGGTACCAGGAGGGGTGCCAGGACACTGGAAGGCCCTCTTCAACAGCCTACTGGAACATGATGGGTTTTAGGCAGGTACAACCTTTTCAGATTTGTTGTTCAATGAAGCCATCTGGTTGGTGTGCAGGAATGCAAGGGAGTCAGCCTGATGTGGAAGAAGAATGGTGATGAGGAGGTGTTTTTTTTTTGTTGTTGTTGTTGTTGTTGTTTAACACTTACACAGAGCGAAAATAGGAGCTATAGAGAACCAGGACAGTGAATTAAGTTTAAGAACAAGTATTTTAGGCACAAGGAGAAAGGAAATGGTGATTGTTGGCATGGATTGGGATTCTAAATAAAGGAAGAAAGCTAGGGGTGATGGGGTTTCATGAAACCCAGGAAAAGGGTAGTGTTTAGATGGCATTGAAAGCTTAGAGACACAATTCACAGGACAAGGAAGTACTTGGGGCAAAGTAGAAGACTTTATGGGCAAAGACAAGGATGTGATTGGTGTTGTTGAGGATGGGAGGGAAGTTCACAGTTTACAAATCAGCAAGTAAGGAGGAAATTATACACTATTTGAGTTACTGGGACACCCAGGTTTTAGGTTACATGTGGGCATAAAACTCCAATAAAGAACATTTTCAAGAAATCCTATGAGAAGCAAAGACACACACATAAAGACAGCATCCCTGTGATTCGTCCGTGTGGCAATAGGCCTGTGTAAAGCCCAGGAGAGTGTCACTCAGTGAGGTAAATCCTGGGGTTCATCTGCCCTGTGCCATGATAGTGCTAGGTATTCTGATTGTGGCAGTGAGTATGTCTAAAAAGAGCCTTTCCTGAAAAAAAAAAAAAAGGATGCTATTTTATTGTGGAAATTTATCAAGTAGATAAAAATGGGAAAATTATATAAATACTGTGATGTTAGTTGGGTTCTGTAGAGGGTAGAGTAGGACAGTCCATTGAGGGAGCGTGAGGAGAGAGTTGCAGGGGATTGGGTTAGCCATCAAATGTCAATACTGGCCCAACTCCACAGAGAAGAGAAGGGACAGAAGGCAGAAAAGTCTTTAACTGCTATAAATTGTTAGCAAGGTCCATTGGGGTTCCCAAGCCAACATGTCAGTCAAAGGAACCCTTATTGTCCTGCCTCACCCAGTCATTAGGCACATGTAACCCTTGGGATGTATGGTTTCTAGAGCATGTGTGTGGTTGAATTACAGAGAACAACAACAGAGCATAACACTTATACTTCAGCAGTGGGATGTCTGTAAGCCCATTCTTACAGTCAGCTACAACTTCCAGTTGCTGGGAGAAAATAACACAGGAGAATGGACATTTAGATGATAAGGATAAATGGTTTCCTGGGAAGGTGCCATTAAACCTAAGATCAGAGCATAAGGAAAACCCAACTGTGTGAAAAGCATGAAGGAGAACAAAGGGGTAGATCCTATGGTGATATCTGAGTGTCACTCAGAGGGTGAAGGCAGCTTGAATATAATCATGAAAGAATGGCAGCAGCTGTGGACAGGAAGCTGTAGTTGGGTTTTGCAGGCAATTTAAAGCAGTTCAGAACATACCATGTTTGCAAAGGGAAACTAGTCAAGAAGTAGAGGAGAGAGAAATGAGGCCTGACCTGTCATGAATACTACTTCTGTTTGCTCTGTGGAACAGGCATGTAGCAGACACGGGTAAGGTGACAACAAATGATAGTTTACATTGTTAGAGCACACTGGTCCCTCTTGGAGGTCCCTGGGGGCGGGTAGAGGGGATTGATATAGTGAGCAGAGGCTTCGTGGAAGAGAGGCCATCAGAACTCAGCCTTAAAGGAGTGAGATTTTAGGAAAGACTAAAGAATGGAAATGACCTTAGAGGTGAATTTCCCTGGGTCTGTGAAGGGAGGAACAATCTTGTAGCATTTTCCAAAATCACTTCTCCAAAAAACATGGAGCCAAAGTGGCTTTTAATTTAGAGCCTTGTATGGGACAGAACATGGTTCAGAAGACACCAAGGACATTCACAGGTGAAAATTGCTTAAATCAGAAAGATTTAACACAGTTAGGGAGAAGAGGTCTCCATCTCCTGCTTTATGGCAGGGGGCATTAACTGAGTACTTCACAGACTGAAGCAGAGGGATGAAGAGAACCCTAGACTTCCTTCTGAACTCAGCTTTGGATTCAAACTGGAGCAACACAGTGCACTATTTTGGACTTGGAGACTCAGGGGAAGGGGTGTTTGGATGGCATTAAAAGCTCATTTTTCAGAACCCACTCTTTGAAACCTCTTTCTATGCTAAAAAACAAAACATCAAGCCCCCTGCCCCCACAGTCACAGCAGTGACACAGGACAGATGTGGAACTAGGGGAACTCTCCTCCACTGCTGGTGGGAATGCAAGCTTGTACAACCACTTTGGAAATCAATATGGCGCTTTCTTAGAAAATTGGGAATCAATCTCCCCCAAGATCCAGCTATACCACTCCTGGGCATGTACCCAAGAAATGCTCAATCATACCACAAGAGCACTTGCTCAGCTATGTTCATATCAGCATTGTTTGTAATAGCCAAAACCTGGAAACAACCTAGATGCCCTTCAACTGAAGAATAGATAAATAAATTGTGGCACATATACACAATGGAATACTACTCAGCAGAGAAAAACAATGACATCACACGGTTTGCAGGCAAATGGATGGATCTAGAAAAAATCATCCTGAGTGAGGTAACCCAGACTCAGAAAGACAAATATGGTATGTACTCACTCATAGGAAGATGCTAGATGTGGAACAAGGATGACTGGACTGCTACTCACATCACCAGTGAGGCTACCTGGAAAACGGGACCCCAAAAAAAGACACGGAGAAATGGACGAGATCTACATGAACAGCCTGGTCATGAGTGGGAACAATGAAGGGCGACAGTCGAGGGAAAGAGAGTGGGAGATCCTAACTGGATCAAGAAAAGAGAGGGAGAACAAGGAATAGGAGACCATGGTAAATGAAGACCACATGAGAAGGTGAGAAGGGGAGGAAGCAGAGAGCTAGGGAGGCCCACGGAGATCCACAAAGATACCCCCGCAAAAGACTGCTGGCAATGGTCGCGAGACGGCAGGAACTGACCTACTCTGGTGATGGGATGGCCAGACACCCAGATAGTGGTGCCATAAACCCCATCCAAGGACTGAGGAATCTGAAGGCAGACATCCACGGCTGGGCCCCTGGTGGAGCACTGGGAGTCTAATTAGTGAGAAAGAAGAGGGTTTATATGAGCGAGAATTGTTGAAGCCAAGGTTGGATAAAGCACCGGGACAAATAACCAAATGAATGGAAGCACAGGATCTATGAACCAAAGGCTGAGGGGCCCCCAACTGGATCAGGCCCCCTGAACGGGTGAGACAGTCATTTGGCTTGATCTGTTTCGGAGGCAGCTGTGCATTGGTGCCAGGTCCTGGGCTCGTTGCATGAGTTGGCTGTTTGAATCCTGGGACTTATGCAGGGACACTTGGCTCGGTCTGGGAGGGGGGAATGGACCTGCCTGGACTGAGTCTACCAGGTCAACCCCGGTCCTCGGGGGAGACCTTGATCTGGAGGAGGTGGGAATGGGGGGTGGGCTGGTGGGGGGGTTGGGCGAGAGGGGGAGAACAGGGGAATCTGTGGCTATTATGTTGAACTGAATGGTGTTGTAAAATAATAATAATTAAAAAAAAATAAAAATCAAACCTGAGGCCAGTTATTGGGGTGAATACTGGAAGGTCAGAGAGATAGAACAAGCCACAGCTATCACACCTTGCCAGTTCCTCAGCTGGTCCTGTTTCCTCAGACTGGAAGCTTCTGTGTCCTCATCCAGAGTGAATCCCAGCTGAACTGCTGCCTCAAAGCCCAAATGCTTAACCAGCCAAATGCTTCTAGTTTCTGGTCCTCATACCTTATATACTTTTCTGCTTTCTACCATCACTCCCTAGGATTAAAGGCGTGTGTCACCATGCTTGGCTGTTTCCAATGTGGCCTTGAACTCACAGAGATCCAAAGAGATTTCTACCTCTGAAATGCTAGGATTAAAGGCGTGTGCTATCACTGCCTAACTAGTGGCTTTTCTGTTCTCTGACCCCAGATAAGTTTATTAAGGTACACAATATTTTGGGGAACGCAATACCACCACAGAAAGGAGAGGCAGAGAGACACCAGCATGCCGCCCAAGGAACAGCATGCCAGCAGACCCGTAAGCCATGGAACACATGGCAAAACATAGATGAATAGAAGTGGGTTAATCTAAGTTTATAAGAGCTAGCTAGCAAGAAGCCTGCCATATGTCATGCAATTGGTAATTAATATAAGCCTCTGTGTGTTTACTTGGGTCTGAGAGGCTGTGGGACCACATTTGTCTGGACCGTGGGGGGCCAGGCAGGACTGGAGAAACTGTCCGACTATAACCGAGCCCCAAACACCTGCAAGCCCTGCCCCCAGCCAATCTCTGTCCTTAACAGTTGTTGCATTTCTTTATTTGACACTGGCTCTGCCTTAGGTTTATATCTTTGAAATACGTTTCCACCTCCAGAGGCTTGTGTTTATACACAGGTCAAGTGTAAAAACAATGTACTGTTGGGTAAACACAGCCTACAGAGAGGTTTTTGGGACTTTCATATGAAAAATGTATATTTCCTGTTTCTCTTGAAAATTCAAGTGATCTGACCACTCTGGCTCACACAGAGCAATGAGAGGTAAAGCCGAGAGTGGCAGGGTTTTCTTTATCCCATCGTAATCTCCCTACTAGCATTTTATTTCCTTTTTTTCCCTATGTGCCTGAGCCAAGAAGGAACTGAAGTTTTTTAAGATACTAAGATGATAATTTCATACTTTTAAAGTTTTTTATTAGCCTTCTAGCCTGGAGGATGAAATTTAATTTTATCACCTTGGACTAAAAGGGTCTCTATAATGTTATCTCTTTGTCTCTATGGTTTCCTTCCTCCCTTCCTTCCTTCCTTCCTTCCTTCCTTCCTTCCTTCCTTCCTTCCTTCCTTCCTTCCTTCTTTCCTCTCCCCCC